GATGTACCTTGGTGTATGCTTTTTGCTGATGATATTCTTCTCGTGGATAAAACGAGAGAAAAAGCCCAGGAAAAACTTGAATTATGGAGGTCCACATTGGAGTCTAAAGGCCTTCATTTGTGTAGAACTAAAACTGAATACATGGAATATAATTTTAGTAGTAGCTCTAGTGACAAAAGTGTAACTTTGGGTGATCAAATTATTAAAAGGTGTGAACGATTTAGATATCTCGGGTCTGTTGTTCAAAGCGATGGTGATATAGATGGGGATGTTACTAGTAGAATTCAAGTTGGTTGGTTGAAGTGGAGGAATGCTTCAGGCCTTTTGTGTGATAGAAAAGTACCGTTTAGACCGAAAGAAAAATTTTATAAGACGGTGGTGAGACTTGCAATGCTCTATGGCGCTGAATGTTGGCCTTTAAAAGAGAAGCATAATACTAAGTTATGTGTTACCAAGATGAGGATGATTAGCTGGATGAGTGGCTTTACACTTAGAGACAAAATGCGAAATGATTATATCCTTGATAGGGTTGGTGTAGCTCCTGTGACGGACAAAATTAGAGAAAGTCGTCTTAGATGGTTTGGTCACTTTAAGGGTTGACCATCTGATGATCCAATTAGGAGAGTAGATGTTTTAGATTCGACTTATGTTAAGAATAGTAGAGGTAGACCTAGGAAGACTTGGGCTTATTGTATAAAAATGATCCTAATTTATTAGAACTAAATAAAAATATGACACTAAATAGGATGCAATGGAGAAAAATGATTCATGTAGCCGACCCCACATAGTGGGATTAAGGCTTTGTTGTTGTTGCTGTACAATTACTGAAAGCAGGGAACAATTATGAAAATTGTTCTTAATATGATCAATGCTCAAATTGTATGAATTTCATTTCATATATGTGCTACAATTTGAATTTTGATATGACGACATTTGGTTAATCGATTCGCTGAAATGCGCTCAACTGAGGTGATCAACTGGGTGACGATCGTGTCTTGTGTTTGGTCGACGAGTTCGACCGATCTCATCTGCCGCGGCAAGAGCAAGTTGGTCATCCAATCGAGATTAGGGGGTTTCTTCTTGCGCTTCTATCGGTTGGTTGATCGACCGATGAGTCGATTTGTTTTTATTCTAGTGAACTGTGGCTCACTTGTCGCTTCGGCTCAAGTCTTACGGGGCCTACGTCTCGTCTACTTGGTTGGTTCGTGACCTCAACCGAATATCTTTATTTGCAAGGGTTTAGGTAGATTTTGTCGCAGCCTATGTGAGGTATTCGATGAGACTTGCTACTAGGATGAATTATGCCTCACGCTTGGCGGACCTTGTCGCCATCGGGCGAGGGACCATCTCTAGTACATTGACTTGTCCCAGGTTTAGAGCCGTGGTTTCACCTGCTTGACGGTGACTTGTTGTTCGACTGTTTATCCTTGGGGGAAGCTTTTTGCTTTTGGCCGCTTGTACTCTTTGAGATTCATGTCGATAGTTCTAGTGTATACAATATGATAGAGTAGTGCTTAATATCAGTGATACATAGCTCTCAGTTATAATAGGATTACATCAAGGTTAACCAATAGGTTTGTGCCATTTTATCTCGGTCGTTGAGATGTTTAAGGGTAGTTAAAGTAAGCTACCTTGGTATATGCTTTTGCATATGACATTCTAACATGCAGGACCTCTGCTGAAGTAATTGAAAATATAAAACAATGGAAAATATATTCAGAACATAAATAATATAAGATTACATGATATGAGAACCGATTAAGTGTGTGGTGATATGCAAATATATCCATGTTGTATGGATGTGTTAGCACTTAGCTGTAAAATGATCATTGAGTTAAGCTCAGTCGCAAAAATTAGAATGACAAGTGGATGCATGGCAAACTTAGAATCGATAATTAAGGAATGATATATTATAGTGTGTTGAGGGCATTTATTGAGTATAATGTGTTGGAAAATAAACTTATAATGTTGAGGGCATGGCAAACATGTTTAAATAATGCACCCATCAGACAATGAGATAAAATTAATGTCAAAATAATAGGAGGAAAAATGGTAGAGTTGAGGCATCATGAACTATAATTACTTAAACATGTTTGCGAGTATAGGTTTAACACTTATCACGGCTCTCAACAAGAATAAATTACAAATGAGGAATCTTAATGCCAGCCTAACTGGTTTTAATAAGGCCATTGATGATGACGATGGTGATACTAATCGGGTAACTTCTTTGTAATTATTTATTTTGTGCGTTTTTCCTTCCATGATTGTTGGCTTATCCATGGATTGCAATTGGACGGCTATGCTAATCCTATGATTATCATGTTTTAGCAAAGTTTCAGCATGATGTGCTGTTTCCTTGAGCATATGTGCAGATTTGCTGTCTTTAAAGCTGTTCCTTTGTTTTATTAATTGTTTTATTAGGAAATTATATTATAAATAGTCTTTGGCTCATCGGGAAAAAGTCTAGTTATTCTAAATAAAGTTATTCTTTCTTTCGTTGGGAGTCCACCATTTGTTCAAGTGGATACTTGAAGATTTTTAGGAGATGTTCATCCCGTACAAATGTGAGGCTGATATTTTTTGATTTGGTGACCTCTCATACTTTCTTTCTCGTCTCTAAATCTTGCTGCTAGTTTGAATGCATTATTGATTTTTTCAATGTTTTACACTATCTAGGTTTTATGAGTGCATGTTTTAAAAAAATTGCATTGGTTTTTGTGGCTCAAAATTTATACACATTTTTTCTTCTAGAAATTAATGAATTGCCATTGATGAAATTCTTCATATTTATGTTTTCATCACCAGTAATGGATAATAGTTGAAATTATGAGTTATTTTTGTGGGAGATCAATGCTTCTGTATGGATTTATGCACATGACTGAGATAACATGCATTGTGCCCACTTATTTTTTGTGATTGCGTGGTTGTTTCACCCGCAAACCCTTGGTAAGTTGCTTTTTACTTGGTTAGTGTTCGTCTTGTGGAAGGTTCTTAGAAAGCTATCACATTACGGAATGAATCCTAAAAGCTTTTGGATGCTATAGTATGGGCAATCTTATTTTTCGAACTCCTTACTATTTGCTCTAGCATGTGCAAATAACTTTTTAATGTTTCTAGCAATTTTTTCATTGATGGTTTTTGTTAAGTTCATTTGAGAGGTTCTTCTACCCCCACCCTGAAATCAGTAATTTATTTCTCCTAACGAAGCAGTTACCTTGAAGATTTTAATTTCTTCTGATTTCAAGTTATCTGTTGCAGTGCAATTCTATGGGAATGCAAAGAAGTCAGACGGTTCATTTCCTGTCAAAACTGACGAAGACACTATAAAAGAAGGCTACAGGCATGTACATGAGATTCTTCATTTGCCATGAGGATTCATCTATATATCATCACAAATATGATTTATAGAAATGTTTTTTGTTTTTTCTTTTTTACTTATTAGAAGTTGTGAATTACGCTGTAATTATGTGTGTTTCTTTTGGAAGTTAAAATTGTACAACCTTTCTGTTAAAATTCTTTGATGGCACAGAAATGGTAATCAGATGCACATCTTGAATTTCTTGCACTGAAATGATCTGACAATGAAGCCAGTCTTCTCAATTTAATGGTTAGATGGATGTAAATTATAGGATTTTAAATGATTGAAAGATATGTTTCTTGTGAAATTATCAAGTTTTATGTCTTTTAGCTCCCTTTAAATATAATGACCGGTTTAAATAGTGAAAAAACCAAATAAACCTTGCAGTTTCTGCAAACATTTTCTTAGGAGCAGCGAAAGTCTTGAGGAAACCTTTTTTTCTGCCTTGAATTGATAACTATTCAACACTTGGTTCAATTTATTGCTTTCCTTACTCTGTTAACTTTTCATGTTAGTTAAGACATCAACACCATGTAGGTTTCTTGATAAGTTTCAATGAATAAAGATCTATTACTAATCCAGAGATATTACCTTAGTGCAACTTATGTGAGAGACAGCCAACTAAAATGAAGTGAACTCATTATCATTTTATTGTCTTAATAGATTAAGTTGACGCACTTAATTAGGCTTACAAGGTTAAGCCAAGGCCATTTGTCTTGGTAGAACCGGGCAAATGGTGGAACCATGTAGTGTGCCTGTTCAATGCTATCACTTTCGAGAGGCATTAGGTGATCATTAAGTCAAATAAAATTATCGAAATGCTGGAGCCAACTTGTAATTGAAAGTATAATGTTCAAGCCTACATTCTAACACATTTTTCCTAGTTCTAAAAGTAAAATAATGTATAAAAGTTGATTGATATTATCAAGATAGTTAAAAAGCCATCAACATTTAATATATATTCCGGGGCAAGATTGTGAGCTACTTAGTCATCTAGTAAAATCTCTTAAGAATATATTATTATAATGCCAAGTTAATCATTTGGATAAACAGTGACTTGTTTAAAGTCCTCAAATTAAAAGTGAAATAAGTGTAAATGCCCAACTATTGCCTATTTTGATTCAAATCTCTGCTACAATCAGTGCATGGTATTTATTTTGATTCAAGTCTTTGCCACAATCAGTGCGTGGTATTTTAAATTTTTATTAGATTTATGCTTTCCATAGCCGTTATTATTTATTAATTATCCTTATTCTGCATTGTGTAGTTTCTTTTTTATCTTTATTATGACTTTATTTCTTTCCATATTTGAGTCCATTGTAATTGGGTTTGAATACCCCTCTTTGTATCAATGAGAATTATTCTGCTCTATTCTCAAATCTAACAATTTTAATAGAATATTATTTATGCTTGTTAAAACAAATAATTAGGCGTTTACTACCCTTGTATTTGGAAAAAGTTAATATGCGTTGAAAAGTTCTTTTAGCATAACAAAGGAAGCTAAAAACAGGCAAATCTGCACCTAAATTTTAATACACCAAAATTAAAATGAAAGGATAGAAGAAAATTTCTCTTAATAATTATATCCCATTTCTCACACGTTACAAAAATGTTCAAATGTAACCATTTATGATGCCTGGGTGATTGCATTCTCATCACACAATGGCCACTTAATACTGAATTTTCTTTAAACCTTGATTGTTATTTCTTAATTTATTTCTTATTTTGTATGATCTTTTGGTATGGTTATTGTTTCTTGTATTTTTTAATTCGGTGTCTTTTGGCGCTTCAAATGTTTTATTATTGTTTTTTTTTGGGTTTTAAAGATTCATCATACCTGAAGAGGATGACATGGAATCTACATGGGAAAAAAGGCTTGTTAAGCGTTATTATGACAAGCTGTTCAAAGAGTATCCTTAGTAAAGTTCCCTATCAATTCTTTTTTTTTTATTATTGGCTTATCAAATTCTTTTGAAATATACTTTTTTTTTAATTGGCATTGGATTCCAAATGTTTACTTTCCCATATTACTTCCACCACCATTGAAGCTTAGTTTTATGGTTATGTCCTTACTGGTTTCTGTATCTTGTATAGTCCGTACATGCATGGTCTGAAAATTTGTTTGCGGGACCATTGCGTGCAAAAATATGGTGTATTAATTTTCAACCAATTGGTGAATTATTATGAAACTACCAAATATGTTAGAAATGAAAATTTAAAGATAAAAAAATATATAGCTCAAGCCAAAAAATATATATATTGTGAAAAATTAAATACCAAAATAGTCTATCCACTTTCTGAATGTGGCCAATCTAGTATCAAATTATCTTGTTTCTCCAATTTAGTCCCCTAATTATATAAATTGATAAAAAAATGTTCTTTAATATGGAAATTGTGATTTAAAATTGATCCCAATTTAACCCATTGACTATATAAAATTGATCCTAATTTCGTCCTTGAGAGATCAATTTGGATCAGTTTTATATATTTGAGACATTAGATTTAAAAAATGTGATTCTCTAGGATCAATTTAGCTGTGTGTGAATAGTTGGGGTTTCATTTTGGGATTTACCGTATTTTGAAATAATTATAATTGAGGTATTGTAGTAGTGGCACTTATATAAAGGTTATAGAAGATACGCTTGATTGGTTTGGGGCATATGTGACAAAAGAAATACATACCAATAAAGTTTATCGATATACTTAACGTGAAAAGCCAACAGTTGTGAAAAAGACTAGTGTATATTATTATAGACAGCGCATGAAACAACTACAGCTGACTTCAATTAATTTCGATTGGGCTACTTGTGACGTTGATAATGTTGACGACTTATTTTCCATTACGTTTGCTTGTGATTTATTTATTTTCCTTGGTGCTTAATTTTTCTTGATTCAAAAAGAATTGCCACTTTCTATGAAAGTTATGTTGAGTACACGATGATATATTATTCTCTTCATATAATTTTTTATTATCATAAGTGGTAGTTGTTACGCCTGTCCCTAGGGGTAATTTCAGTCTTTTTTTTCACTAAGGGCAATTTAGATTTTATTAGCCTTAGTGCGATTTAGTTAATTGTCATTTATCATTATTTAGTAAATAGGGCTAATATGTTTATGGTTATGGTTGTGTAGAAGATTAAGTCTTGTAACTTAGGGTTAAGGTTTTTGAGAAATTTTCTTCCGCTCGAATTGTAGGAATTGGGAGAGATTGCATACCTCTCGAATTATTGGTATTTATCTTTGTATTCGTGCTGAATGCTTGATGTTCTTGCCATAAAATGTGTGTTTGCTAGGGGTGTGCATTCGATCGGTTAAGATGGACCAGTTTTAAAATTTGGCCAACCGACTTAAACCAAAATCCAGAAATCGAACAACCGAACCAAATATATTTTTTACAGAATTGTTGCAGTCAAATCTAAATTTAATTCGGCTTGAACGGTTCGATTTTTGATAAACTGAAATACATGTATTTGACATGTAAAAAAAAAAAAAACACATAGAAAAGCAATGATCTAGTTACAACAAGTGATATTCAATTGATAAAAATAATTTGATTAAAAACATAATTTATAGCCCAAAGAAAAAGAAGTACGGCACAACATTGAACAATTTTAAAAAAAATGCATAAATAGTTTACATGAATCATAAATTCTTAATAATACAAGAAAGTTGCACATAATTTTAAGCACTCTAAAATTTGTTTTATTCTATAACTAATGCTCTTTGAGAATTGTCAAGAGCTTTCTCTCTAACTTGTTTGCTTGCCTTGATGCCTTCTAGTTGAGCTTCATCAACATCACATCCAACTTGGTCTTTAGAGGCACCAACTTACAATCATTGTTTAGTTTTGCTATACTACGACCTCAATGAAAAGAGACGAAATACACCAAAGGGCAAAGGAAAGCAAAAGCCAAAAAAAAGATCTATCCAGGGGATAGAGAGAGCTTAGACTATATGGTGGCCTCAATGACATGATCCATCCATGCAATACCGAATTCTGAAATAAATAGAGCACCAGCAAGTCGAAGGCGTAAGTACATTGATATTGATGTAGATATCATCATTGTTCTCTAAAATGCCAAGAGGAATGAGATCAGAAATTCCATTCAGACATGAAAATTAAAGTCCGGTTGAATTCCATATCCAAACCTGATCCCTGTAAGCAGCCCAAAAACCATTGCCAACCAATAGAGGAACAAAAATTACAAAACAATCTAGTAGCAGGTAAGAAAAGAAAGTTATCTAAACCGCCTAAATAAGAAGGATTTTGTAAATAGGGCATAACATGATGCATTGTTCTAGAAAGTAGAAACCTTATAGATTCAAATGTATAGGCATAGCCATATAGGTCCCAGCAGCCAACATTACAGGGAACTACATGCCTACATATGCAGATTGTGTGTTTGATTTGGTACCAAAGTAATCTTCTCAATGCCTTGATTAAATAATGGTTGTGCTAAAACTATTCTATATCGAACCAAAGTTTCTACCACATTAAGTAATTACTCATAATGCATAATGTGGACATGCTTCTAAAAATTATGCTATATCAAACTTTCAAGAATGAACTATAAGTTCATTTAACCAAACAATAGCCAACTAGTACCTTGATGCCTCATCAGAATGAACTATAAGTTCATTAATGTTAGTATTCACTATTTAGCCAAACAAGAGCTATCAGAAAAGATAGGAAGCACCAAAAATCCAGAAGATAATTTGGCAACATTAAGCAACTGTCGAAATACCCCCAACAACTACAGTTGGCAAAAGCCAAAGCTCAGAAGAACAGTACACCAACTCATTCACAAACTACAAATCCAACAACCATGAACTAGTAAGAGAGATAAAGCCAAGCTCCATCACAAATAAAAAGCCAAAGAATAGTAGATATACACTTCAATGGGCCAACAAAAGCGAGAACCAACTTACCAAAGTATTCTCTAAGTAAACGACCAAAGCCACTTGAATTAGAACCAAAGGAACCGTCTGTATTAGATTTAATCTAACCCAACTCAGGGCACAACCACCTCACAATTGGGACTAACGGATTAGAGAGTCTCAAAGTGAATACCAAAATAAGTAGCAACTACAGTTGGCAAAAGCCAAACTCAAAAGACAAGTAAACCTCTAGTGTGAGCATACATTTCACATTAGAACCAAAGAAACTTTGTTTCTATATCATAAGAAAATCAATAGAAATTTCTTATAGAAGCATATACTTCATATGGAACAAAAATCGCTTTGTATCGATCACATAAAAACCAATAGAAGCTTCTCATAGAAGCATATCATTAGATGGAACAAAAATCCTTTTGCGTTAATCCTATAAAATGAAACAATAAGACTGAATAGTATATATGTAAATTCACCATCTAACCATGGAGTATGTCAACATAAACCAAAAATTTCTTCAACAGTTCACCCTACTGCATAGTTAGGATTAAGAAGTGCATACATTCGTTGTAGAAGATTAAGTTGTAGAAGAAGATAGAGTAAAGAAAATTAGGACAACAACTAGAAGGGGAAAACAAAAGCTTGGAAATACAACTAGTTGAGATTCGGGGTAACCATGATATCCAAGAGGACCAAGACCAAGATTATCGAGATGAGCCGAGCAACTAGTGACAGAGCACAGGGGCAAGGAGAGGCGAGTTGCGCCGTCTACGCGATAGCGTGAGGCAGTGCTTCAAAATGAACCCTAACTGGACCTAAAGAAAAAAGCTTCGCAATACATTTAGCTTCCGCTAAACAGCACTTTTGTCCTATAAAAATCAGTTTTTGGCTAAATCGGCATTTTTCTTAAATCCAACCATAATCGATATACCAAAGTATACATATTTTAAAACTGAATTCCCAACCGTTATTTCAAAAAGCAAACCAAATCAATAAAATGGCTTGATTCAGATTAGTTTTTCGGATTTATCCAAACAATGCACATCTATAGTGTTTGCGCTAATTTCGTTGGAAAAATTTATCTCAAATCCTTTCAAGTGGTATCAGAGTCCTCGATTTGGGGTGCGACTCTTATGGAGTTTAAAAAATTGTCATACAACCATGCATAGCAACAAAGGGATCGCGACATTCAATGTCGAAATAGTCGCGGGGAGCAACAAGGGATCACGACATGCATAACCGCGAAGGGAAGCAAGCAATGCCCCTATGGAAGTTATATGGGAAGAGAACAACATGTTATAGTTGCGATGGCAGCTCCTACGTGACTGGCGCTTGCTATACAGCCGCAATTGCGGTGTGCTGGGAAGTCGATAGCAGGCTCGAGCATGCACTAGTACCAAATCATGCGACTCCAACCCATCTGAGAAGCAAACAATAGGATTGCTCCATACACTAACAGGATTGCTGCTTATAATGACAAGAAGACATCAACAACACATTCACACAAGATCGTGGATACAGGCTCATCTGCCATTGTCTTTGTCGTGACCGAACCACGCCAAACATCTAGGAAGCCATCAATCGGATTTCAACATGTAGGAGGTCCTTCCTTCATGATCGAAAATTGTGAGAGATGGCAGCAAGTAGAGTGGATGCTTTGGAGGAGAGATTGGAAGGTGTAGGATTACTTAAATCCGGGATAGAAGAAAGTTTTTCCATCATTGATAATCGAATCGAGAACATTGGAGAAGATGCTAAGGAAGTTTATTGATATGCAATCCAAGGCACTTTCAATGGCTCAATTTGCAAACCCTAACCAAGGGTTGACTAGAGAAGCAATAGTGAGATCAATAAGGAAAGATATCAAACTTAAGGAATAGGAGAAGAAAAGCATTTGTCATCGAGAAAGAACTCTCTCCTCACCTAGGACTTCGATGGGGGTGCATTAGAGATTTCCGACGGAGGGGGCGGGCCAATAGGAGTAGGGGTTATGTAATGGGTTGGGAGGAACACGTAGAAGGAAGGAGAGAAACCAAAATGGGATATGCTTATGATTAAAGGAGGGAGTTTCACCCTAGATACATGGGTGGAAACACTGAAGGGAGAGGAAGTTGGGGGGGTGAGGTTAAGGTTAGGAAGTTGAAGATGTCGATATTCGTGGGGTAAGATACACATGGGTGGGTGTATCAAGTGGAACGATACTTTGCGGTGAATGGGCTAAATGGGGAGAGAAGCTCATGACGGTGGGGTTATATTTGGAGGGAAAAGCCCTAGCATAATTTCAGTGGAGGGAGACTAGATACCCAATCCGTTATGAGTGGAATTTAAACATTATTTCTTGGAACGTTTCTAAGCTATTTGGAAGGAGATCTACAACAGCAATTATATGTTTTTACTTGAGAGGGGACTGTCATGGAGTATAGAGAGAAATTTGAGCTGTTGTCAAGACTGCTTAGAGGGAGTTTTGAGGCAGGATTGGAGGGGAACTTTATAAAGGGCCTAAAGCCCGAAATACAAGAAGCACTCCAATTATTAGACAGTGGGGATTGAGGGAGAGAATGGAGCTTGCCCAGAAGATGAATAAGACTAACAAAAAGTGGCATTACAGGAGGATTCTACAATAATAGCTCAACGACCATTATACCAATGACCCAAATGGTTTCATTTCGGAAGGAGGCGCAGAAGAAGAGGAATACCCCGAGGTCAACTTCAAGTGCCTCACAAAGATAGAGGTGCATGCAAGAGAGGAAATGAATTTTATTTGCACTGTGATAAGAAATATGCCCCGGGCCACCGATATAAGAATCACCCTCTCCATATCTTATTAGTTTGTGAGGGGGGAGGAGACAAATGGTGAGGAGTCATAGGAATAAACAGTGGAGGGAGAGGAGCACTTACACTTGGATGTAGCAGAGGTGTCCTTCAACTTGGTGATGGGATTTATCCCAAGTCATACCATGAAGGTGAGGGGAGGTGAGGGGACAGACCTGGGATCAGTCAGTACTGGTGTTCACAATTTCATTTCAAATCAGGTCGTGGACCAATTGGGGTTGAAGCTAATAGATATGGGAAGCTTTGGGGTCATGACTACTGGTGGTGGAAGATTTCCTTCCCTTGGGACTTGGGAAACACATATGTGATTATGGGGATGAAGTGGCTACAAATGATTGGGGAGACTAAGATTGATTGGAAACTTTTAACCATAGAGTTTTTGGAGGGAGATAAGGAGTGGTGTTTCGTGGTGACCCTAATTTGTGCAAGACCTTGGTTTTAGTGGACCCATCGAAGGAGGCGTATAGGTTGGAGGGGCCACTACCTAATACTTGGAAGGGATTGAGAAGATTTATGAGAATTATATGATACTACTGGAAGTTCGTGAATGGTTATAATTTGACTATGTGGCCGGGAACAAATAATTTGAAGGATAAATTTCAGTTGGGGGAAGTTACGGCCCATAGTTTTTTAGAAATTGAAGATGGTCATAACGAGCGTGTCAGTTTTGACGCGAGAACCTGGCTCAAGCCAATTTATGGGCTAGAGTCGCATGACGTGATTCCACAACAATTAATTTTTCTTCCACCTTGAGGACAATGTGTCTTTTTAGGAGGGGAGTATTGTTACGCTAATCTATAATGGCAATTTAGTCTTTTTGTGTGCCTAAGGACAATTTAGTCTTTATTAATTTGTGGGCGATTTTGTCATTTATTATTATGTAGCATATGTATGACTAATATGTTTAGGCTTAGGGTTATGCATAAGATTGGGTCTTTTATCTAAGGGTTCGGGAGAGATTTCCTACCTCTCGAATTATAGGAATTGAGAGAGATCATCTACCTATCGAGTTGTTGGTGCTTATCTTTGTATTCGTGCTAAATGTTTGATGTTTTTTTAAATAAAATGTGTGCGCTAATTTCTGTAGAAAAATCTTTATATAATTTATGATTTCCATAAGAGGTGGCTTAGAAGATTACATCATTATTTTGTTTTGAATTCCAAAGGTGGCTAAAATTGTTTAGAAACCAACCACAATTCTCCTTTCTTTGGTTTTTAGTTTTGAATTACTCAATAAATTATCATCATCACGATTATTTTGAATTTAACCATTTTAGATTAGCTTTTTGGTGACTATTTTTTTGCTTAGGTGTAGCCATTTGTGCTTCACTTTTGATTGATAATCATTTGATCATGTAAATTACTTGCCAAGGGACATCCACATCACTTGTATTATTTCAATGTCATAGGTTCTTGAAATCTCTGTGGAATATTAGTTGGAAATAAACCTAAATGTGTCAAGCACATCTAAGTATTGAGAAAAGTGTCGAAATTGTCCCCCAACTCTTTCTAAGGGATCATTTTAGTCTCCGATTCTATTAAAGTGTCAATTTAATCCCCAAACTTTTTTAATGTGGGTTGAAAAAGACCCAATAGAAGACTATTTCAGCCATAAATTAAAGTGTCTAGAGCCTAATTTGGTGCCTTTGTAAACTTTGGGGCTAAAAGGGCCCAATGTAAACAGTCAGGACACTTATCTAATATTACTGCCATATGTTTAATGTAGTTGTAGTTCCCAGTATAAATTTATGAATTTAGAACGTAATTAATCCCCATGCATATGCTGGCTATGAGATCAATAGTTCTATTACCAATTCTTTGGCCAATGATTTGTTTAATGAAGTTTTACTCTATTATTTGAAGCCAATTCCTGGTTAGCAGTTACTGTCGCATATTTTCCATGAATTTTGATTTTTCATTCCTTTTGTTGTTTCACCATTACAAAATACTTTTCTTCCATGTGGGATCCCTTAACATTCATAAGATACTGCATTGCCGACATGTCTCAATACAAGAAGGGCAAGGTATGAGCGGACTAGCAAGTTATCTCAATTGGAGCTTTTCTATCTACACTAATTGTTGCACTTTGTTCAGGAGAACCCCAAATAAAAATACTAAACGTTTAATTAGTTGGGCTTTTTAATCAAAAGTTAATTTTTGTGGGATTTCCTTATTGTTGAAGAAGGTCTATCATCGAATATAAGTTTCTGAAAAGTTGTGACGTATATTTGAAGAGCAATCTATTACTATTCGAGTTGGACAAAGGTTAGGAGGAATCAGAGAATGCTTCAATTTGCTGCTTTTTGAAGTAATCCATGTTTGCAATTATATTTTCTCATAACTGGGCTTTCTCGAAAACGTGTTTTAAATATGGGTTGGTATGAGAAACCTGGAGATTTCTTGACTTACTCAAAGCTGCGGCGAACCCTCCAGGGAATGAGGCCTCAATATCAATAAGAGTCAAATTTTCCGCAAACTTTGTGGGGGTTTTCAGATAAACGGCTGCAAATGCTTGAAGCAGGCCTTCCACTTGAACATCGGAAGCATCTGGAGTTGTCAAATTTGAAGCTTTTTTCGTGTGATGCTTATCATAAGAAAGCATTTGTTTGGTTTGTTGAGGAATATTGAGTGAGCTAACGTCCACCAGAAATCAGGGATTGAAGCAATGTTGAGCTAGGATCAAAATAGAGATCCAACATGGAAGAAAAATGGTGCCACATAGTTTCCGCTTGAGGTAGTCTGTGGAGAGGTGATTGATAGTTTCCACCAAGCTGCGGTGAACGCGCGATAGCTAATTTTATTCCTTTTGTTGGAATTCTATGATCAGTGATGAGTATTTTGTTCAGAAGATTCCGCTTGAGGGAAAATTTTTCAGATGAGACATCGAGATTTTGGATATATAGGAAGGTGGTTGGACTAAGTTACATAGTGAGCTGCGCAATTAGAATGTTTAAGTACATCCCAGCAAGAGCCGGACATCCCCATTGGAAGCCAAAAATCTGTTATTTTCTTCCACAAGGGATAGAACAGTACTACATGATTTTCAAATAAAAGTCTAAAGGAAAAAGGATGAGAATCTTTGTTGAATTTGGAAGACACAAACATTTCCAAGAGTGAGTGGTTTTGTGAAATTTCCACCATAAATTTATATTTATTGTGCTTGGAATGGATTCAATTCTCTTGAGGCACATGCTTTTGGCTGATATGGATTTGCAAATTTTATGTGAAACCTTCCAATGATTTTTGGCTTTATGATCAGAACTTGTTAAGAATGTCGACTAGGATGTTGTGGAGAACATTCTTAATGAGCCTATGGGGGTAGTTCGGCCATGTTGAGAAAGAATTTTGGTTTGTCAGCTTTAATTACCTGTTGCATTTTTGAGGTAAGGTCATTGAGTAAGTGAGGAGCTTCCTTGACAGAAAAGAGATACGCGAGATATGTGAAGGGCTGATGACGATAAGAAAATTTTATGTTTTTTGCAATTTTGTGATTTGTTTTTTTGAGGTATTGAACATGTTGAGAATTTTTGTTGTGTGATGCTGTAGGGAACATGTTTTATGAGCCTATGTAGGTAATTTTGCCAGTTTACAACATAATTTTGTTTACCAATTTTCAATCACCGCAACATTTCGGAGGTAAGGGCATTGAATTAGTGACAGAGCTTTCCAAATACAAAAAAGGGATATTGGTGGAAAAGGGCCCCTTGGAGGGGAGAGTAGTTGTGAGTGAGCGTGAAAAAGCGCATGTCTACAAACCTTAGTGTCCTGCCAAGGCCGTTAGTGGTTGCGGGAGTGTGCAAGCTGGCCCAAGCATTAGAATGCATGTGGTATAACACGTAAAAATACGAGAAGACAGGATTTTGAACTGTGGTGTGGATGCCAACGAATATGTCAAGATGCATGAACGTGGATAGTACACGCTTGAGCTTGACAAGCACAAATGAGCGATCGATTGTTGTGTTCACCAAGCGTACAACAAGCCTCAAGCAGCAACACACACAATGATGAGTTCAATAAGGGCTTTGACAATTTTTGTTAATCTATTTCAATATTTTTTTGAAGCAATTAAATTTTATAACAAGCAGCGAAAAGATGCATGTTAATGGGGTTATATAAGACCACAACCTAGAAATTAAAAGAAAAAATCAGATTAAGCAATTCAAAGAAAGATAATAATGACATCCTAGAGAAATAGATATTGCCAACTTAGACATCAACTAAGTCTAAAATGCCAAAATCATTAGGGTAATTTGTAGGTTTTTTCATGAATATAATATTTTTGGGAGAGTGGAGTGATAATTTTCTTTGATTAGTGCCTTAAAAAAAATACTAGTAGAATTTCATTAAATTTATAAAACTTCTAATAGAATTTTAAGTTTGAAATGAGCTAGAATCACTATAATTCTTCACTCCTAAACATTCTCATTTGGCATTGGTGAATATGGTTATGGCATTGATTGGAGAAGAAATAGTAAAGTCAGTTACGTTGCCCTCAATAGACTGTCTAATGTTTAACCCAACTATGATTTTTGGTAAACTGGAAGTCCCTTCAAAATTGGAGGACAGAAGGGGTATTCTCAACCAACAAATCATGAACAATAAGAGAAGGCGCTAACTCAAAGATGAAACTTGATTAATATTATGATCATTAGAAGATCCAAAGGGAAACAAGGGAGAGTGTGCAACATCTAACAAATAGCAAACCCCAATTGATCATGAGTATTTAATGCATATTATTTTGTAATTTCATATAATTATTAAAAAGGTAACTTCAATTGATGCAACATATGAGGATAGCAAGATTTGCAATATGAGGACAGTCAGTTAAGTTCCGCTTTTTGCCAATAATTACATGAGAAAGTGCTAATTCATAGCTTTCGTATCAAAGGGTTAGAAATGCCCATCTTAAAAAGACTCTAGGGTAGTGTTGACCTCAATTTTCGTGAGGTCTAGTATTTCTCGTGGGAGTTAGGATCTAGCCTTAGGGGTCTTCCTGCGACTATCTTAGAACCTTAGAAGTGGGACCTGCCTCGTTTTAGTTCGACCCGCTTCCGTCCCTTTCTGGAGTTTCGCGTGTGTGGTATCAACTTCTAGCACTTAGAAGGATGAAACCAACATGAGGAAACCCAAAAGGGATTCCCTATAGGACCTTCCTGAGCCTTAGGGTGGCCTTTTGCACAATTCGCACTCCCGCGCACAAGCTTCGCAATTCGGAGAGTCGATACGTCTGATCGCCGCAATTCGCATTGCCTGCATTGTTGCCTGTTGAATGCT